GAGATAGACAGGTAGATAGAGAGATAGAGAAGAGATTGATAAATAGATAGATAGATAAAGAAATAGATAGACAGATAGATAGATAGATAGATAGATAGAATTAGATAGATAGATAGATAGATAGATAGATAGATAGATAGATAGATAGATTAGATTAGATAGATAGATAGATAGATAGATAGATAGAAAGTAGATAGAAAGTATATACAAAGTAGATAGAAACTAGATAGATAAACAAATCAATGAAAGGAGAGAGAGAGAGATAGATAGATAGATAGATAAAAGGCGAGAAAGATAGATAGATAGATAGATAGATGAAGAGATAGATAGATAGATAAGTAGATAGATAGATAAATACATCGATCGACAAATTAGATTAGATAGAAAATAGATAGATAGATAGATGAGAAAGAAAGTAGATAGTTAGAGAGAGAGAGAGACAAAGATAGATAGATAGATAGATAGATCGATTGATAGATTAGATTAGATAGAAAGTACATAGATAGATAGATTAGAAAGAAAGTAGAGAGAGAGAGAGAAAGATAGATAGATAGATGGATAGATAGATAGATAGATACAGAAGTAGATAGGTGGATAGATAGATAGATAGACCGATAGATAGGTAGATCAGATAGAAAATAGATAGAAAGTAGATAGATAGACAGATACATAGATAAATAGATTGATAGATAGATAGACAGACTAGATAGAAAGTAGATAGTTAGAGAGAGATAGATAGATAACAAATATATAGATAGGTAGATAGATGGGTAGGTAGATAGATAGGTAGATATGTAAAGAAGTAGATAAGTAGATAGATAGATAGATCGATCGATCGATAGATCCAAAGACAGAGAGAGATAGATAGATAGAGAGATAGATAGATAGATAGATAGACAAATAGATAGATAGATAGATAGACAGACTAGATAGAAAGTAGATAATTAGCTAGAGAGAGATAGATAGATAAAAAAAGAGATAGATAATAGACAGATAGATGGATAGGCTTTAAGTTCGAAAGTAGTACGTGAAGTCCACATCCGCAGCTGGGGCTCGAGAATCGCAACTTTTAAGTACGAAAGTAGTGCGCGAAGTCCACTTTCGCAGCTGGAGCTCGAAAGTCGCAATTTTTAAGTACGAAAGAAGTACGCAAAGTCCACATCCGCAGCTGGGGCTCGAGAATCGCAACTTTTAAGTACGAAAGTAGTACGCGAAGTCCACTTTCGCAGCTGGGGCTCGAGAATCGCAACTTTTAAGTACGAAAGTAGTACGCGAAGTCCACTTCCGCAGCTGGGGCACGAAAATCGCAACTTTTAAGTGCGAAAGAAATAAGAGAGATAGATAGATAGATAGATAGATAGATAGACAGATAGATAGATAGATAGGGAGAGAGAGAGATAGATAGATAGATAGATAGATAGATAGATAGAGAGAGAGAGAGAGAGAGATAGATAGATAGATAAACTAGACCACGGTTGGCCCGAAAGCATAACATCGCAAGCGAGGTCGGCCCAACGCTGCAGGATGCGTTCTTTTTCCCTCCACGAAACATTTGTGAAGCAAGCGCGAGACAGCGCCAGGCAAGGTGCTCTGCGCAAACTGGTCGGTGCAAGTTGGTCTGCGCAAGTTGCTCCGGCAGCAAGTGGCTCCCTGCAAGTTGCTCTGTGCAAATTGCGCTCCCTGCAAGTTGCTCTGTGCAAGCTGCTCTGTGCAAGTTGCTCTGTGCAAGTTGCTCTGCGTAAGTTGCTCTGCGCAAGTTGCTCTAGGCAAGGCGCTCTGCGTAAGTTGCTCTGCGCAAGTTGCTCTAGGCAAGGCGCTCTGCGCAAACTGGTCGGCGCAAGTTGGTCTGCACAAGTTGCTCTGTGCAACTTGCTCTGCGCAAGTTGCTCTGCGCAAGTTGCTTTAAAATGCAAGTTGCATCTTGCGACGCCCGCCCGCGGACCAGGGAGGAATCGAACCCGCGACCCGCCGGTTCCGGGAGCAGTCGCGCGAACCACGAGACAACTCCCAAGGACCAGTTCGAACAACAAAAGTCGCAAGAAACCTCGAGTTTTTGCACCTCGACCACGCCGATCCCCGCAGGGTTGCGCGAGCACCGCAGAAATCGCAAAAAAACCATGGGTTTTTGCACCTCGACCACGCCGATCCCCGCAGAGGGTCGTGCGGGCATGTTAGAAAGCGCAGAAAAAAAACCATGGGTTTTTGCACCTCGACCACGCCGATCCCCGCAGACCACGCCGATCCCCGCAGAGGGTCGCGCGAGCACCGCAGAAATCGCAAAAAAAAACCATGGGGTTTTGCACCTCGACCACGCCGATCCCCGCAGAGGGTCGATTTTCGTGTAGTGTCGTCGGCACTATCCCGCCGCCCTAAGAAGAGATTTTAACTCCTCGCAAGTCAATTGCACTTGACTCCTCGCACTTGCAACTTGCACTTGACTCCTTGCACCTGCAACTTGCACTTGACTCCATGCACTTGCAACTTGCACCTGACTCCTTGCACTTGCAACTTGCACTTGACTCCTTGCACTTGCGCCTTGCACTTGACTCCATGCGCAGCTCGCAATGACTCTCATGACTCCTTGCAATGACTCCTCGCAATGACTCCTTGCAATGACTCCTTGCAATGACTCCTTGCAATGACCCTGTGCAATGACTCCTTGCAATGACTCCTTGCAATGACTCTTGGCAATGACTCCTTGCAATGACTCCTTGCAATGACTCCTTGCAATGACTCCTTGCAATGACTCCTAGCAATGACTCCTTGCAATGACTCCTAGCAATGACTCCTAGCAATGACTCCTTGCAATGACTCCTTGCAATGACTCCTTGCAATGACTCCTGCAATGACTCCTGCAATGACTCCTTGCAATGACTCCTTGCAATGACTCCTTGCAATGACTCCTTGCAATGACTCCTTGCAATGACTCCTTGCAATGACTCCTTGCAATGACTCCTTGCAATGACTCCTTGCAATGACTCCTTGCAATGACTCCTTGCAATGACTCCTTGCAATGACTCCTTGCAATGACTCCTTGCAATGACTCCTTGCAATGACTCCTTGCAATGACTCCTTGCAACTCCTTGCAATGACTCCTTGCAATGACTCCTTGCAATGACTCCTTGCAATGACTCCTTGCAATGACTCCTTGCAATGACTCCTTGCAATGACTCCTTGCAATGACTCCTTGCAGTGACTCCTTGCAATGACTCCTTGCAATGACGCCTTGCAATGACGCCTTGCAATGACTCCTTGCAATGACTCCTTGCAATGACTCCTTGCAATGACTCCTTGCAATGACTCCTCGCAATGACTCCTTGCATTGACTTTATGATGATGATTCCTTGCAATGACACCTTGTAATGACTCTCATGAGAACAACTCAAGTGAACCCAGCGGAAGAACCCTTCGCCATGGCGGGTAGATGGATAAATAGATAGATAGAAAGAGAGAGAGAGATAGATAGATCGATAGGTAGATAGGTAGATAGATGGAGGGAGAGAGAGAGATAGATAGAGAGATACATAGATAGATAGATAGACAGACAGACAGACAGATGGATAGATAGATAGAGAGAGAGATAGATAGATAAATAAATAGATGGAAAGAGAGACAGAGAGATAGATAGATAAATAGGTAGATAGATAGAGAAATAGATAGATAGATAGATAGATGGATAGATAGATAGATGGACAGATAGAAAGATAGAGAGATAGGTAGATATATAGATAGACAGATAGATAGAGAGATAGATAGATAGATAGATAGATAGATAGAGATAGATAGATAGATAGATAGATACATAAAAAGAGAGACGGGTAGATAGATAGATAGATAGATAACACGAGAGAGAGATAGATAGAGAGATAGATAGATAGAGAGATAGATAGATAGATAAACAGATAGATAGACAGAGAAGAGACAAAAGAAAGAACAGCACAAAAACAAGCAAACGAAAGAAAGAAAGAAAAAACAGGTAGAAAGAAGGAAAGAAGGGAGGAAGGAAGGAAAGAAAGGAAGAAAGGAAGAATGACGGAGAAAAAAGAAACAATGAAAAGGAAGAAGAAGAGAAAAAGAGTCAAGAATCAAAGAGAAAGAGAACTCTAGTTTTATATTTTTGAAACTTCCGCCCACCGGCTTCGCCGGCTCTACTGGTAATTAGTGAGGGGTAGCACCAACAAAACAAAGCAGCGTTGAGGCATGTTATCCGGCCTCAGACATCCTCAAACCACTGGTGCTCTGACTATGAGCAGGTTGCATAATTGAGATCCGAACGGCTATTATGTCAGACCGCCATAGACGTTTACACGGCGCTTGACTGACATAAGTTGCATTCAGCTTGCACTTTTCCAAGGCCAACAATGGCGGTGATACAAGAACAGATGAGTGTCAGACGGAACCGCAGTCAAGGTAGAAAGCCATACCAGAATGTGATCCAAGACTTCAAAGCAGATGAGGGCAGGCCTGGGTGTGCTGGTCGTTGAAGTACCTTTGACTACTCCCGCGCAGGCTGTATGACAACTGGGCGTGGATTGGCCAATTGGAGAGCAAGCTCGACAGAGCAAAGCGCCACGCCAAGAAACTTCGGAGGACTTGGCTGCGCTGGCAGCGCGTTTGTTGTAATGCCTAACGGCATAACCTGCAGGAAACTACAATTTCCAAATGATCCTGACGGGCAAAAGATGCGCTTACAGCAGCGGAGATATTGGGAGCAGCAGGCCAGAGAGCCATGGGCTTCCACATGGGCGCCCACATGGACATTCCTGCATTTGACAGTCAATATGAAGTGCTCAGGGACAGCGGTAATGGACCATGCTGCGCAAGCCCTAGATGCGTGCATAGGTGTATAAGGTTGTGCTTGGACATCTCCGAGGCAGTTTCACCTGCACAACGGATGGCAGTTGGACAGATGCGGTGAGCAAAAGTGCAAAGGGCCGCAGATGGTGGTTGTATTGCATGCGTTGCTGAGTATGCATCGTTCATGGCTCCTGTGATTCCAGATCGATCCTCTTCGTGCTGAGCATAGCGAGGCCTTTTAAGCTGAAGTTCGGGCATGTAGACAGGGTGCACAAAGCTGTCTTCTTCTTTGGCATCTTGAAATCTTTGTCCAATGGGTACGCAGACATTTGGGGGGATCGGAATCTGCTGGTGTTGCTATGGCTGTGATCATCCCCACATGTTGAGCTGTCTTGACCACCAGGCGGCGGATAAGTTGCTCTCAGCGCGCACTTCGCTGCGGGAAGAGCAGGAGCACTGTGTCTGCTCAGCCATCATGCGATCAGTCCACATTCCTGAATGGACATGCGATGACCTGGCTTGTTCGAAGGAAGAGAGGATGTCTGGCAAGCAAGTCCACAGCCAAGATGCGAAAAACACAATTCATGAGCAGTTGTGTGGTGGTGTGCTGAACGCAACGAAGCACGCCTTCATGACAGTCACGGAATTCCGTCAGTGTTGTGCTTCAACCCGCCCAGAGGGCTGACAAGAAAATAAAGGTCTTCACCATTTGTTCCCCAAACAGCTTGAGCTGTGAGTTTTATTTTTGCTCTAAAACAGAAAGAGAGAGATGGTTGAATGTGTTCTGAGCGTCCGCGTGCTTGGATTTGTGTTTGCCTAGATACCTCATCTGGCCCCGTCCTGCACCAGTTTACCTGAAATCACTTTTGATCATCCTTTGCACTGTCGTATTGTCGTCCTGAATTTGTATTGGCACTTCGTGATGTGTTCATTTGACTTCGAACTCGGTTGCTTGGGTCGAGTGTGCCGGCCTTGCTAAAAGCGGCCCGGCGAGCACCTGTGCCCGGTGCACCAAGCGGCATCCGGTACTCAGCACGCCTTGCCCGAGCGCCGTTCGCAACGTCTCCGCAGCACGTGCCTAGCACCAAGCGCACGCGGTGCGCACGCGGCTCGCACCTGGCACGTGCTTCGCTTGTGCCCCCTCCCGCACCTGGTGTGCCAGGCGCTGGCCCAACCGGCGCCACCACTACCTTCAATGCTTTCGGCGCCCATGGGCTACGTATGTTTGCTGTTTCGAGTCCATGCTAGTGTAACGTGCTTCAACAATGCAGCTTACTGAGCTAGTCAAGGTGTCTGCACTACAGCTGCGCCTTGCAGAGGCAGATGCTGAAGCTAGAGAGAAAGGGAGAGAGAGAGGGAGAGAGCACAACCGCCGTGCTTCATGGCAATGTCTAGAGGCCGATAGTCGCAAGGGGCGAGCGGCCAGGCACACCGTGAGCACGAGCGGGCCGAGCAGCGTCACGGTGATGTGACTGCGCTGGTTGCCCAGCTTGTCTGTTTGCTTGGAGCATTTGAAGCATTGCACACAGCCAATGCTTGGAGACTCGGCAGTCTGCAGGCACTTGAAAGCCCACTTGCGTGATCTCAACGATGAGCTTCAATCGCACACGGAGGAGTCTGTGGACATATTAGACATATGACATGCTTTGAAGTCGAAAAAAACTGCGCTGACTTGAACAAGCAAAGTGATTCTCAGGAACTGAAAGAGCGAGACGCAGTGGTGCTTCGCCGTGACCAGGCATCCTGTTGATTCCAACTGCAAGCTTCAAACTGATTGGGACTTGACAGATGTAGGAGCTCGCGGAAGTCAATGGGCAGCTCAGCGATTTGCAGGACCAACGCATTCAATGCAGTGTCATGGCTTTGATGTAGACGACGCAAAGCTGTAGAGCAAGGGAACAGGGTGGAGATGATGAGAACAAACTAGTTAGTACTTTCACCTGGAGTTCTTGCTGGACCAGCAAGTGGGACAGCGATTTCCTGAAGAATTCAATGCTTTTTGGGGCCTCCAGAGCCCTTGCAATTCGTATATAGGTCAAGGCTTCCAGCTTCATCCTCGCTACCCTTCTAGCATAGCCTAACATGCGCCCTCTGTAATGCCAGGCATGGCTCCATTAGAAGGGTGTAAGGCAAGTGATGCCCAACGGGGGATCATGTGTGTGTGTGTGTGTGTATATGTATTGAATTGCACATAACCGCGCAACCCGCCCTATAGTACTATTCTTCCAATGCTGCAGATATGGATCCACCCTGTGAGGGGGGTGTTTGTTAAATCGTATATAGCCGCACAGCCTCCAAGTGCTCCTGGCTATCGCTCACTTAGCGGACCCTTTCTGTTTGCGCCCCGAGCCCTTCAGTGAGTGCAATGAAAGTTTAACTCGCAGGCATGTGACTTGAACACTGCTTTGCAACTTAAACTCCAAATTTGAGTCTGCTACTCCGGCCTGGGTGTTAAGGAGAGCAGTCAGCAGGCTTCTTATCCAGTCCGAGAAACCAAGAAAGTCACATCCAAGGGCTAGTCCGCACACCAATGCCATGGACAAGACCCATGAAACGAACACCAAGGCCACGAAGAAAGACACTGCCGCCCTCTCTACGTAAGAGGACTCACTGAACGAACAGGAGACGGCACAAACCGTCTCGAGGTTTTGTGAGTCAAGAGCTCGGACATTTCGAAACACTTCAATCACAGGTTCAATCACAGGTGTGCAGCCGAGTGTTGAGTGCGACTTGTAACTTGCATTTCCAAAGCACAAGCACAAAGGCACCGTAGGCACCCTACAACTACAAAGCACTCGTTGGGGATTTTTTTGAGCCCGTGTACCCATGAATCCGAGGAAAGCGCGCATGGATTTGCAAGCAAGCGCTGAGGAATGACTTGATACGGATTCTGGAGGAAGACACGCATTCCAGATCCAATTGATGCTCGACTGTTGGGTGATTTTCATTCAAGAAGTTTGATTTAACAACTTCTTTCTTGAGATTGACACGTTAATCTCCGATTCTATCACAAGAGTTGCAGTACTGGATGCAAAATCATCATGTTAGTTTCAACCTTCTTGAAAGTGGCTTCTTAGTGTTCCTGCTTGATCCCCCAGCACGGTGATGATTTTGAGGTTAACAAGGAATTAATTCTGCACATTCTTCGGCAACCGAGCACTCAAAGACAGGCCAGTTTGGGATTGTGTAAAGGGTCATGCTGGCCCTTCTTTTGTTTCGTTCATCAGAACAGCACCCTGGCGAACTGATACATGTTTGTGATGCTAAACCCTGGCAGGGCCTGTTTGACGAAGTGAACGGCCAGCTGCAGCGTGAGCAAAGTGCTGAGCTGGCTTTGAGAATTTGAGAATCATGAAATTAAGGTTTGATCTAAGTTAAGTTGCCCCTAAACGGGGTGTTTCCGACAAGGTGCGGGCGCATTGAGAGGCTTCAAGGGGTGCAGCTCTCAGGGCGGTATTCGAAGATCCGATCTATTTGTTGCGTGTTTGGCATCCAGCGCACGCGCAGGCCGTGACGCAGTGTGCAAGGCAAGCCAAAGAACTGGAGTCCTTGCAGAACATGCTGGAGGCGGTCAAAAAGGTCAAATGCTTCCATTGGCTTTCGACTTCGACTTGGTTACTTTGCTTTTTGGAGCACGCTGGCAGGAATCCCACCGCATGCTGGCACAACTGCGTGAAACATTGGACAAGGCAATGCCATGGGGCTGTTGGCCAGCGGTGTAGCGAGTTCAATGTTTTGGGAGGAGCGTGCTGAGCGCCTTCGAGTTGCTGGGCTTTTGGAGCATGAGCAGCAGAGGATGCCAAGTGCATTTTAGTGCAATTCAAGATTCGTCAAGTGTCAAGTGCAGATGATAGCACTGGATGCAAGGACGCAGCTTCTTCTGGACGTGCTGAAGCACTTCAAGGAAAGGGAAAAACACAAACTTGTGTAAAATTGGTTGCTGACACACAACAGTCATGGCATCACATCAAACCCAGATTTCGCTGTTCCTTCAGTGTTCAGTCAGCGCTTTTGTACGCTGATGCTGGGGGCAGCCCTGCTGCAGCTATAGTCGAAGGCAGACCCTTGCCAAAACCTGCTCCAGCGTTTTCGAACACAAGGTGCTAAAGATTCAGTGACGCTTCTGATGTTGCCAAACGATGTACTACGATACCAGCGATGTTGCAAACGTAGCATCACCAGCATGGCCAGGTTGTTAGGAAGTCGGCGTTAGGCCTGAGAGAGCTTCGCCCCAAGGCGTTTCTCTTAGGGACCATGAGAAAGATCAAACATGGACTCATTCCCACAATTGTGGCAGCGGGTTTCAATTCGCGGGGTCTGCCGTAGCTTCAAGGGAAGCATAGTATTGATGAATTGCCAGCTTGTGTGGATTGCTTGCGCGCATTCGACAGTTTATTGCGGTTGGTGTGCCAAGATGTCGAGCACCTTTGGTGTTCCAAAGGCATTTGATGCGAAATACATTCGTGCGCAGCCGGCAGTGTGCAGCCAAACTTTGTGCTTTTGTGTGGGCAACGAAAAGGTTGGTATGGTTGGTCAAAAATGACAGGCATTTTTAGGCTTGAGCGCGGGTCTGGCAGAAAGTTTGGTCTTGTCAACACGTCGTGGGACACGTTCCCGGACTTGTTCGGGCTGAATTCTGGAGTTCATCCTGCTTGGCCTGAACGGTTGTCGAGCTACACTCCTATATTTTCGACAGGGCTTCCAGAGAGTGGGGCCAGTCTTGATGGAACACCATGCACGCCTTGAGCTCGAATGCCAGAGAGTTGCGCGCTGGGAAGTTTGCGAGAACGTCTCACAGGTGAGTACTGAATCGCCGGACACGTCCTGGGTCCTGTTGCATCCTGGGTTCTGAGATGTACATTTGGATCAATCTCTGATGCAGTGTGCTTTGGGAAAGGATTCTGTTGGTCTGCCACGGATATTGGTCTCTGGCTGAAATCCGGCATCGCCAAGTATAAAGCATGGGATGTGGCCAGAATGTCGATTGGATACACGTAAGGACTTTCACTTCAGCATGTTGCTTGGGATAGTTTTGGTATCGTGTTTTCGGGATGCATGGCCTGGCGTCAGGAGAAGCTGCAGGGCTTGACTCCACAAATGCTGTTGGGCATCATCCTCAGGATTCTCTACCGGGAGCACAGGGAGCACCTGGAGCATCTTCATATCTTCAGCTTTTGGCATTCTTTCAGCATTTCTCATCATTTTGCAGCATGTTTCAGCCATCAAGGCCGCTTGGGTGTGTCCGATCCGAAGGCAGGATGCATGGCAACACGCCAGTACGTATATCGATGTTTGAGTGCAAACAAGGGCTTTGAATGGGCTTCCGGCCACCATGTCCAGGTGCTGTTTTCCAGCCCATGGCAGCGTTCTCAGACTTGCGTACTTGCGCACTTGCGTTTGATTTTCATGACGACTACTAGCTTGAGGCTCCAGCAACAGTTCGAGGAAACTGGAAAGGTGCAGCCCGCAAAGGGCCCTGTCCAGAGCGGGGCTGATTTGCCCTTTGCACTCGGCACAAGTTGGGAGCTGAGCGGTTTGTTTCTTCACCGAACAGCCCAGAAACACCTCTATAGTCTATAGAATGCGCAGTGCAGTGCCCTTACAATTGTTGGGCGAGGTCCTGGGCTAACACCACCCATGTTTTCTGGAACAGTGCGCATCTCAGTGCAACATGCCCTCCTTTGGTCAGTCTGACTGGTTGAAGGAGTGGCAAACACCGTCACCAAAACCCTGCGCTTGGCCAGCAGGTTTCGAGGTGGGCGCTGTTTGACGGAGAAGCTTGCATTTTTTCTTTTTTTTAAACTTTCAAGGTTCCGCCAGTGCCCATGGCGACGCCACCAGGGGAGTGGCGCTCGGTGTGAGAGGAAGTGCTGCGTGGGCTGTTTTGGAGAGCCTTCTCAGTCAAAATGCGTTATTGTCGCAGATTCTGCCTAGAGAGTGTATCTTTGCCCACAGTGCGCCAAGGCACCCTCGGCTTCTTTGGTGTGTGGAAGATAGCCTGAGCGCAAGCCGCAATTTCGAGGACTCCTAGTTGTCCATTTCAGGTTTCATGTTGAGCGGCAAGCAAGCAGTGTTTTCAAAAGGCAAGTATTATACCATTTTAATTTGAAATTCGCGGCTGCTGGGTTCCACACCGCATGCTCTGAGACTCTGAACATGTCGGCGCTTGCCACAGGTCAATGTAAGGAGCTCTGTTGGGCCTGCCTAGTCAAAGCTGCATAAGACAGGCCATGCATGCAGGGCCCCGCTCACTTATGCACGAACGCCCCCACACGCCCACGCGCCCATGCGCACCCATGCATGCATGCCCCAGCCCACCCATGCACACACAAACATGCACCCCCATGCGGGCATGCACGCCCACGCACGCCCACGCACGCCCATGCACGCCCACGCACTATGCGCGCACGCACATGCACTCCCATGTGCAGGCCCACGCAGGCCCATGCGCGCACGCCCCCCCCCCCAGCCCCGCACGCAGACGCAGAGACGCAAAGAGGCACAGACACGCAGACGCAGAGACACACAGACACACAGACGTACCGACACACTGAAATTCAGACACGCACCTACCCACACACACACACACACACACACACGCATGGGGGTGATCAAATGGTCCTTTGCATGGGGCGACCATTAGGGAAACCACCGACAAGATGACTTTCACCACTACATGGGAAAAGTTACCCATGCTCATTTCACGGCCAGGAATGTTGATCTGCTCACACACACACACACACACCCAAACACAAATACACAGAGCAACCACAGCGCCCAAGAGGTGAATGCGCGGACGGCTGCGCGCCTGGATTTTTGCAATGGACATGTACACAGGTTTGCGAGCATCACATTTGAGGAGCACGTGCTGGGGCACCGACATAACGTTCGAAGTCTCGAACTGCATGTGTATCTTGTAGTACAATATGTCCTGATCCGTCCAAGGTCGGACAAAACAAACAAACACAGACAACAAGAGTGCTGAGAGAAGAGTCAGATTTTCAGCAACTTGTTTCGACTGCATTTAGCCATTCTAGCGAGTGCAATCCTGATGCTACAACTTTGATGTGACAGTGTGTGACATTCTTTTGGACTTTCGAACTTTCAATCAGTATGATTTTCAACAATGGACGGCAGTTTCACATGCTTTGAATCAGAGCTTCCAGCAGAAATGATGGTATGCAAGCACGTACTCGCAGAAAGGAGTTGTTGGCCCACCATCCAGATGTGGCTGCGCAACACGCCTTTCTGTTTGACACGTCAAGAAATTCGTGGGGGAAAATAGGTTCATTGTCGCAATTGTTGACTGGCAAAGGCCGATGTGCAGCTGAGAGTTGCATGGTAAGTGAACGTATGATCCATCGCAGCAATAGTGTTTTACTTGGGCATGAGCACCCACCCACACACACACACACACACCACACACACAGATTATTAGTGTGTTTCACATATGAAGTTGGTTGTCTGGGCGCACAATGCCAATGTAGCAATGATGAGGCGTTGTCCACCAGAAATACAGAGGTTGTACTCGCTTACTCAGTTGCTCTTTTTGCTCCCAGCAACAGTAAAACAGAACAAACCAGCAACAATTGAAAGCAATCCTTGGTGCCGCACTTTATCCTTGTGTGCCGCAGCTGCGCAACATGTTGCCTGGGGCTCATGTCTGCATGTCCGTGCATTGATTTTGATGCTGGGTTTGTGTTGCTGGGCTGTTGCTGTTTGTAGAATACAGACTCTGTGACCCAACCGAGTAAGTGGCTGACTGCGGACCGCGACAAGGGCACGCGGGTCTGAAACTGAGCTCTCAATGCTCGTATGATAGAACAATCACGTTGTGTATGCTCGAAGTATGCTAATGCCCTCGGTTGCTCTGCTGTTTCTGTATGCCTTGATCGGAGTGCAGCTCAGGTCTTTTCGTCCGTGGCTGATGGCCTCCAGGCACGGTCCCTGGTCAACAGTTAGACAAGCTACTGCTTCAAACAAGTGTCATCCAAGTCACTCGCATCCAACATGTCAGTCTTTGTACAAAGAGAAGCTGCTTCCACTTGAGAAGGACTGTGACAGCTGCCGCGGCTAATGCAAACATAGAGTGGCTCACAGGACTTTAGCTTCGCGCACTTCTTCTCTCCCGAGCTCACGGATGCAGACTTTTCTGCCCGTCCGATGGTCGAATCCCCAATGCGCGGCTTGCGACTCCTGAAGTCGGACTAGTGATCCAAGCTGCAGGTGATGCTGACTGGCCAGTACTCAACAGGAAAGAGTCACCTGGCTATAATTCTTTCCTGCAGTGCCATGGAAGATGTGCGCAAGATTCTGCTGCCACCATGCCCAGTTGCTTTTGATCCGTCCTGTATATTCGAGGTACCTTCATTCGACATCTTCTAGGGTGCTCAGCTTGCATATACGAATCAATGGCCAAAGTAGCCTTTTCTGATGAAACAATGGTATTGGCTGCCTTGTCGACCACGCTAGCACGCTGGGAAGCAATGAAGGCCCCCACGCAAGGCGAGACTATCCTGGACTCCGCATTGGGCCAGAGCCCACCACTGACAAATTTGTGGCGGTGTGCCATGGTGACATGGATCAGGCTGGACCTTGTCATTCACACCAAACCAGTGGGACCAACTTTCATTGCCTGTCTTGAGAGTTTAGGAACACGGTGCCTTCTTTTGGTAAATATTGTGGTGGCTGCTGCATCTATGCAAGATGGATAGAGTGATCTTTAGATACATACTTTGTTCGCAGACATGGGCATACTGTCAGCAGCAAGGAACAGTCTTGACAAACATCGTCAGACAGGTTTCCAATGAATTATTCAGGTTTCACTGCAATATATATATATATATATATTGCGTCATATTGCGGGCTGAGTTGATCAGTACTACACTAAACAGTGTGGCAGTTGGTCAGGTGATTCCTGGCAATGCGCTCGTGGTTGACAAGTCCATGCCCTTCACGCAGCTGAGTCACTTTGGTACGCCCTTGGCGATGTGCTTTGCAGAAGTTTCGGCATGCGCAACCATGTGCGAAGTGAGCATGCTGGACCTCAATGGCCCTTAGCCAGGCAACAACTTTCTCACACGCTTTGAGTGCGCGAAGTTGAACAGCCCTGTGCTGAACGGCATGTCCCTCATTGACACCGTGCCCTGGACAACATATTTTCAGATCCCTTTGCTTGAGCGGATAGTAGACTTGTCTAAATCTCTAGCGTCCTAACTTGGCACTTTGCCCCTGCCTGCAGCCTGGCGTGCTATCCGGAGAGAAGCAGCGGATCAAACGCTGCGGTCTTACGCTTCACCAGCAACATGTTCTTCTGGGTAGAAGTTCACGTTGCAAGTGCAAAGCCGTGCAAGGTGGATACGAGTTTGAGGTGTGCCCTCCACTACACCACCTCCATGCAGCGTTTGATGTCAACTGATGCCTTCCCATAATGCAAGGATTTCTAGTATACATAACAATATAAATACACATACAATGCAATGTATGACATTACATTACATTTCGTTGCATTGCATTAGATTGCATTGCATTACGACATTACGCTACACTATACCGCACTACGTAGCGTTACGACACATTACATTGCGTTACATTACTTTGCGTTACATTACATTTCATTGTCACACCATATATCATACCATAACATACCACACCCAACATATGCATTTGGATGTATATATACATTGCATATATATATATATATACACATTGTATATATATATATAGATCCACTGCTCGGGTGTCATATTTCAGATGCCTGCCTGCGCACCGGGTATCCATTGTCTTGAGATTAAGGGACAATGTTCAGGCACGCTTTTACGCCATTGTTGGTCGGCCTTGTGCTGCTATGAATGCGAACACATTTCTGATCTTGATAGCTGACGGCTCAAAGTTGAAGTGGGATGGCGAAGGTTGGAGTGGGTGATTCGTAATGTCCAGTGGCCTCGTGTCTGCATCTTACACTTGTGGACTAGCCCTGCATACCAACATCATTTCACAGCAACCATTGCCTTGCACAGGCGATTAACCTGCAGATTCTTGCTTTGCGTGCCTTCAAGGTTATGAGTGCAAAATGGCCTCCTCTTGCTGGTTGTGTTCATGGACCAGCTGCGCTTGCCTGCTGGCAGCAACCAAGTTGCGCTGCCCAGCAAACAAAATTCATGGTTTGGCTCTCTGCACTTGGGCAGTGCACTGAATGAGGCTGGCACTGCCGATGATCCCTACAGCAGTTGTTGTTGGGTGGTGCCTCACGCCCAAAAGGCAAGATACAGGGGCGAGTACAGACTGCTTCGGCTTGTTTGGCCGGTCAACTCTGTATGCAATGAGTGTCCACTATCCTGAGTGCCTGTCTCTCTGTCTGCGGACCATGCATGTACTGCGCGAGCAGGCAGCACTTTCTCGTAATACCTGGAAGGTAACATATTTGACTGATGTGGAGGGGCACTGGCCGTACTTCTGCAACTTTGCACCACCGGCCACGCTTGAGAGCATGTTCACCTGCATAGCTTGCTGCCTTGCTTGCCAGGTGGACTTGTCTGAAGGGCTTGCCTTTGCCGAGGAAGGTGTGAGAGACTAAGTCGTCATCCGGACAGCAGCTTGAGCAATCATACTCAGTAGGGGACCCCACTGAATTGCCGATGTGGGCCCCAACTATCCCCAAAGCAACCTCATCCAATGGCCGGTTGGCCCCACAGCGATGTTAGACTAAATGAAGCCCAGACGAGCCGTGCACGAACCCTAAACCAATCTTGAGCCAATCGCCTTCAAGCGACCCTGCGTCAAAAGGTGTCCCTGAAAGCACTCCCAAATCCTGAGCAAATCCAACACTTCATCTAGCATCAGCATCAAGCAAAGGTATGTTGTGAACAGCAACAATTGCTTTCCTTCCGAATTCGCAGTGGTCTTGCAGAGGTCCTGCTGGTCCTGTGAAAGGCTCGGACGCCCGCAAAACGCGCACTCACTTTGCCTTTAAGTGAAACCAACCTCCACCAGCACGAAAGCAATCTTGAGAGCGTGGCAACTTCGGTGCCTTTCTCAAACTTAGCATACGCTGAATCTCCAGATAATGACGAAGATATTAAGAGATAAGATATGGCTAAGAGATGGAATTCTTCTTTTTACTAATCTTCTTTCTTCTACATGAGAATCCTTCACTGTCATCTATCTCCTTGAATCTTATCAGGTTCTACAGTGAAGATTTGATGTCCAAGAAGGAAATAATAACTTCCAAGGATTCTCATTGGTCATCAGGAGATAGGAGATTAATACCTGAAAAATAATGGGAATTAATATAAGATGATATGATGGATTAGTGAAAGCTAAGCATGAAGCCGGACCAGCCATCATTCATTAACTAATTTCCCAATCCATCTTTTAGTCGTCCCAGCATTCATCTCCTGTTCCTCCATTTCCCATTCCTACGTCGCTTCTCTCCTTTCATTCACTTACACACCTTGGAATCACCGGTGAAGGCATGAAATGGTGAGGAAAGAGGCTGAGGTACGAAGAGATTTCCTTTTCCTTAGGTTCAACAGCATATAGTAAAGACATGTAGATAATGACCAATAACAGACTGTAGGATAAGGAAAAGATAATTCCAGGAAATCCAAGGTCGTTGCGGCACCGCCAGTGGTTAGGAAAGACATGGGAAAGAGAAAGTGAGGAAGAAGGAATAGACCCGACGGCTTCATTCACTGGATTGGCTGTTTCCTGAGTCATATTGCCTCACTCACCGGTAACTCCGTCCGGACTCTTCTGTAATAGCTTTTGGTCTTCTTTTTATTATTTTAATATTTATTTTATATTTGTATTTTGCTTTAATTAGGTTTTATTTATGTCTGGTATGTTCATGACCATTGGGTAGCTTATATAAGCCGCTCCCATAAACGATGTAATTGAGGAAGAGAAACGCTTTTACACCTATTAATCTCTATCTTATTTCTATTTCTATTTTATGCTTTTCTTTTACATTCTATTTCCTATGTCTTTTCCATTATATTTCTTTTACTTTTGGTTTCTGTGTGCCTGCGCACACCATGTTTGTGACTAAAGGATCAGCGGGCTGCGCGAGCTGCACCAGAGCTGATTCTCGAGGCTAGCGCTGCCAGATGCTGCTCCAACATATTTCTTTAAGGTCATGTACATAATGTACCAGCAAGAACACGCTGAGCCGGCATATGCACATCCTCATGGCTTGCTTGTATAGGATGGCTGGCACTTCGTCTTCGGCGGCGACACCTGTGACAAAGGTCCGGCACGCTAGGAGATTCTGTTCCAATTCTTGAGATTGCCGGCTGATCTGTCAGGTCCAGGATCCTTGAGATGCCTCCAAGCGCTAGTCTCTGTAAAGAAGCGTCAGCCTTACCGGTACAGAGATGTGGAGATGTGAAGCCACCAGGGAATTTTTTGGGACAGCTCATGAAAGCTGTCGGCGCATGACACACCCACCCACACGGACACAAAGTGACCAGACACACCCACACACACCCACCCACCCACCCACCCACCCACCCACCCACCCACCCACCCACCCACCCACCCACCCACCCACCCACCCACCCACCCACCCACCCACCCACCCACCCACCCACCCACACCCACCCACGCACGCACGCACGCAGGCAGGCAGGCAGGCAGGCAGGCACGCAGGCACGCAGCCACGCAGCCACGCAGCCACGCAGCCACGCAGCCATGCAGCCACGCAGCCACGCAGCCATGCAGCCACGCAGCCACGCAGCACGCAGCCACGCAGACACGCAGCCAGGCAGCCAGGCAGCCACGCAGCCACGCAGCCACGCAGCCACGCAGCCACGCAGCCACGCAGCCACGCAGCCACGCAGCCGCGCAGCCGCGCAGCCGCGCAGCCCCGCACCCCCGCACCCCCGCACCCCCGCACCCCCGCACCCTAGCACCCCCGCACCCGCGCATCCGTGCGCCCGGCTCACCCGGCGCACCCGCGCACTCGCGCGCTCGCGCGCCCGCGCGCCCGCACGCCTGCGCGCCCGCCCGCCTGCGGGCGCGCACCCGCGCACCCCGCGCACCCGCGCACCCGCACACCCGCACAACCGCACACCCGCGCACCCGCGCACCCGCGCACTCGCGCACACGCACAGACGCGCACACGCACACACGCACACACGCACAAACACGCGCCCACACGCCCATGCCGACGCCCACGCCCACGCCCACGTCCCCGCGCACGCGCACGCGCACACATTCACACACAGGCACGCGCACGCGCATGCACAGGCGCACGCGCGGGCACACACACACAGGCACACGCACGCGCACGCTCTCGCTGCGCCGGCGCCGGCGCGGGCGCCCGCCCCCGTGAACCACGCACGCATAGGCGCACGCGCGCGCGCACACACACACACACACACACACACACACACACACACACACACACACACACACACACACACACACACACACACACACACACACACACACACACACACACACACACACACACACACACACACACACACACACACACACACACACACACACACACACACACACACACACACACACACACACACACACACACACACCCACACACACACACACACACACACACACACACACACACACACACACCCCA